GGGGTCTCAACTTGAGTAGAAGGCAACATGCAAAAACGCACCCAAAGGTGGGCATTAATACCTAGACCTAACAAGGTACACCTCAACCATCATATCCAGCTATGCATCCCAATGCATATACGCTCCCTAACCAACGACTCTGAGACTCATGCCCATATCGTGGTGCCATATCATATATATAAAATCCGTCTAACCCAAGGTATGCCATTTTATTGTTTATTGAATTGACATAAGAATTTTAATCCAGTTTAGTCATTCAACTTAATCAGTCGATCTGACTTAAACACAACCAACATTTAATCCAGGTAGTCATTCAACTTAATCAGTCGATCCGACTACACACAAACACAATTAATCCAGATAGTCTTTCAACTTAATCAGTCGATCTGACTAAACAAGGTTTATGATTCAATATTTTACAATCCTTCTCTTAAATCCAATAGGTTAGGTTTATGCGTTTTGAGCTAAACCATCCCTAGTATGACACCGTCCCATACCGGTTCATACCATCCTCCACAACCATGTAATTGACAGAATCTATTAATTCAGCAATTAAAATTCCACATATATATATAATCGTTTAGCGATTTATAATCCAAAACCAATATCCAAGTATTTGCAATTAAATCCAAGCATTTAAACCATATAGTTGTAAGGAATGATTTCATAATTCAACAACTAACATCCAGACATGCATAGATCAAATCTAATATATCATTGACACTATCATGCATTTAAAATCCATTCCATAATCATATTATAGTCCAATAAATTGTTAAAATTATTCTAAACAATTTAGTTCCTTCCATCAGGTAACAGCGTACTAAGTTGCGTACTTGTACTCTGTTTTATTCCTTTCAACACAGGGCCGTACACTAATCCATAAGTCTGATTTATTAACTAAAAGACTTCTCCATGCATATAAAACTTAATTTAGAATCATGTTTTAGCATCCTAAATTTTCAAATTAAAACTAGACAATTTATTACCTTTCAGCCGTCAACCGCATAGAAAGTTCACAAATTTTCTACTGTTTGTCCCATAGACTTAGAGGTCAATTTTAATCAATTTATGGTCTTAATGAAACCCAAAATAAACTATCTAATCCCTCTGTAAATTCCCAGAGGTTTCAAAACAATTCCAATGCTCCAACAGTAGCAGGTAATTCGTAAATAAATAAATAAATAAATCAAAAATGAAATTACAAGAGAGCCTGCTCAATTTTTGGAAAGAGCAGGCTCTTTTAGAGCCTTGAGCCGGCTCCATTACTTCATGGAGCCGGCTCTTTACCTAGAAAAGATGAGGGAGCCGGCTCCCTCATTCCATGGAGCCGGCTCTCTCCCCTTCTAAGAGCCGTCTCCAACCTTTGCAATTCCTGCGACTTTCTGCTTTGCTTCCGGTCACTTTCCACCTCTACCAGCCTTTCTGTTTGGCTTTAACACTGATTCTAAGAGTCTTCTTAACCCCTATTAACATCTTCATGGTTGGTTTAAAGTAAATAAAAACAAGCACAACAAACCAAGTTACAACAGAACTGATCATGCTTTAAGGAACAAAACTGGAACAGATAATAACGAATGTATTTCAGACCACTTTCTCAGTCAACAGATAGTGCAAGTTTAGCATATAATAATCATAAGAAGGAGATTGAGATTTGATAGGAGGTGGGTATTAGGGAGGAAGTGGGTATTAAAAATGAGATTGGTATTAGGAAGAAGGTAGGTATTGAGAAAGAGATTGGTACTGGGAAGAAGGTAGGTATTGGGAATGAGATTAGTACAGGGAATGTGGTGGGTTTTGGAAAGAAGAGAATTGAGATTGAGATAGGTTTTCGGATTGGTAAAATCCTGAAAGTTAAAAATCATAATTGAATTGTGGTTGTACTTCAGAGTTTTGCGATAAGGGTAATGGAGGTCGTTGATCCATGGAGTGTTCAAGGAAGAAAATTTCGTTAGAAAAAACTGAAAGGAAGATTAAGAAAGAGAAAGATAATTAACTGATGAATGATAAGAAATTTTAATAGAAATGCAATGGTATTTATAAAGAATATGTAATATTACAGACGGTTATATATATATATTTTTTTCTCAACAACTATATTATGTTTATCTTTTTCCTAACGGCTATATTCCCAACGGCTATATTATATTTGTCTTATTCTAACAGCTATATTATGTTTGTTGTGATACCCCTTAAATTCGAGATATGGGTTGATCAGGCCCAAACCCAAACCCGAGGGAATATCAGACAATTAATATTTAAATGAACACAGATTTCAAAATGAAATAAGAAATAAATAATTACAGGCTGAAAGAATTCTAAATTAAAAATCTCAAAATATAATTGTTAAATCCAATAATCCAAAACCCTCCATTTATTTAACAACTCGGGAATCCATCTAGTAGACCCCTAATAAAATCCCAAATTGAAAAGGAAATAACTGTAATAAAAATCCAAAGCTAAAAATAGAAAGCAATCCTACGTAGTCGGAGGAGTGAGTCATTGTATCTGTTCTGCACGACCAAGTTCTAACCCTGGAACTGACGAACACCTGAAAAATAAGAGAATGGGTCAAGCCCATATGCAAGTCCTATCTTACTACGATCCATATAGAAACCCGATACGTAAATACATCATAGATAGCTCAACAATAACTAGAATAGTCCACATATGTATAGATACACATTACAGAACGCTCACTAGTTCAATAGGTCTGTTTCAGCTTGAGTAGAGATGCCATGCAAATCGCACATAACGTGGTCATGTGTACCTAGACCTATCAGGGACCAATACTTATGTCCAGTTATTTATCCTTGGCGATATACGCACCCTAACCATAATTCTGAGACTTAAGCTCCTACCATGGCTCCATAACATAAATATATAAAATCCATATACTCCTAATACAAAATATCATCCATCTGGTATAGTGGCCTGATATATGTATAACAATCCATCCAGAAACCAAAGTAGGTCATTCAATTATTTTACTGATATGACACAAATATGAGTAGGACTTAACCGTTATGGTTAATCCATACCTCAATCCAGATTAGGTAGGACTTAGTATTTGAACTAATCCATCCCTAGTATGCCACCGTCCCATACCTGTGCATACACTCCTCCATTTAGCATAATAGATTAAATAACACTAGGTATTCATCAACATGTCTCCAAAATATGCATCAATATAAACTAATACATATATAACGATATTAGGCATTCATTACAGAACCTAAAAATCATGTCCCATCTATTTAAATTGCTAAAATAAATCATAGCATTTAAATCCCCCATATCGTCCATAAATTGATACAGTTAAAAGCAAGTTAAATATCAATTTAAACCAAACCAAGCAGAGTTAATTACAAGTAATTCACTACACTTATAACTCTATTTAAATATGATTAAACAGTACTAAATCATATTTACAATAATTTCCAAGTTCCAGTATGTAAGTTGATTAACAACCAAAATGCAATATGTAGGATTTTTCTCTAAATTCACACTGTCCATTCCTTAATCCATTTATGAATTATTGTTTCCCTATATTTTTACAGGTATGTAACAATTATATACATCATTTAAAGCAGTTTAAACGAAGTGAAAATACCTTGTACAATCCAAACAGCGCCCTAAAACCAACAGTACACAATTCTAGGCGAGAGCAAGCTCTCACAAATTGAGAGCTTGCTCCATTAACATGGGAGCCAGCTCCCTAACTTTGGGAGCAGGCTCTGTGGAGCTAGGAGCCGGCTCCACACTCCTTAAAGCCGGCTCCATTGACGAGGGAGCTGGCTCCCTCCTTTTGGGAGTCTGTTCTCTTACTCCTTGAAGCCGTTCTGTGTTTCCGCATCGTCTTCCTCACCTCCGGCGATTCCCAAGGCCTCTATAGTATTTTAAATACTTATTCCAGTGTTCAATTAATGTCCCAGATTATTTATAAGACATCATTATGCATCAACGATCTCAATTAAACAAAACTTAAACGCAAAGACAGCAGGAACCAGTTAACAGAACTTTAAAAATTTGCAAACCAGTTTAATTCAACGAGATTAAATATAGTTTAAACATGTATAAAAGATTTGTTTTAGCATTAATTAAACCCCTGGAGTCTACCTAGGCATGCATAGAACACAGGTTTAAGGGAAAGAGTTAGAATAGAGACTTGCCTCTGATTTCACTTTAGAAATCTTAAACCGTCTTCTCTAGCAACTCCGACGACCTTAATTGCTTTTACTGACATCTGTTGCTCCTAATTCAACCCACAAGCATGCGTCAATTGCTTCTCCTTGGTTCAGCCCTTGCCCCTAACCAAAACCCTAGCTTGTCTCTTTCTATTCTCCCTCAACCTCCACAATTCGTAAATAAAGTTCTAAAAACCCTTGCAGACCTTAAACTGTTATATTTATAGGCCTCTTAGGTTAACCGAATTCTAATTACGTAGGGAATGAAAAGCACACACAAGTCGGCAACACCGTGAATCATAAAACCCTAATTAATCCAATTAACTTACTTAAATAATTAAACAATTACAATAATTCAATTAAATACAAATAATAAATAAAAAACAATTAAATCAATTAATTCAAATAATAACAATTAATCCAATTAATTCAATCAATTCAATTAATTCAAATAATTCAAACAATTAAACAAACAAAAATGTAATTAAATAATTAATTAAAATACCAGGACTATCCTTTTAAAATTAGGGGTATTACATTTGTCTTATTCCTAACGGATATATTCTGTTTGTTTTTTCTTCAACAATTATATTCTCAATGGCTATATAAACCACTCATTCTCTCATTTTTTCAATTATCAAGTCCACTTCTTTACATCTTCGAATTAATTTTCTCTTATTTGAGTCTTTATCTTTATTATAGAAAAAAATGGCTTCATTATCATAATCTATTCTAATGTCCAGGTCAATTTTTCCATTGAGTTTCTTTTCATCTTTTGACGGGGAACAATTTTTTGAAGAAAGTCAAAAAAGGATGAATGGAGTGATGCAACTGTTATCGCCTGAGAAGGTAAAGGCATTATTTCGATGTCGTAAGAAAAGATATATTAAACGTGATCGAGAGGAAGTAGCCCAACGGCTATTCCAAGATTATTTTGCTGAAAATCCCATTTTTTCACCCAAGATGTTTCGTAGACGATTTCAGATGCGCCGAGAGTTGTTTATTCGCATTTTAAACGGTGTTACAACATATGACGAATGGTTCATCCAGAAGCCTGATGCCCTCGGTTGTATGGGTTTCACTCCTATGCAGAAGATGACAGCTGCAATACGTATACTCGCATATGGAATTTCAGCAGATCTTTGTGATGAGTACATAAAGATTTCTGAAACCACTGCGGTTGAAAGCTTGGAGCGCTTTTATGATGCTGTAATTGCGGTGTATATAGAGCAGTACCAATGCACACCAGACGAAGAGGATATTGCACGCCTGCTTCGAGAAGGGGAAGAAAGAGGCTTCTCAGGTATGCTTGGCTCTATAGATTGTATGCATTGGGTATAGAAGAACTGCCTTACAGGGTGGCATGGCACACACAGGGGAAGAAATCATAAGCCTACCCTTATATTGGAGGCGGTTGCATCGAAAGATCTGTGGATCTGGCATACTTTCTTTGGTATGGTTGGTTCAAACAATGACGTGAATATTTTAGATCATTCCCCAGTATTCAATAGCTTAATCAATGGCACAATGCCTCCGATTAATTACGAGGTAAATGGGTATCGACGTACAATGGGGTATTACCTATCTGATGGTATTTGTCCCAAGTGGGCAACTTTGATTCAGACCATCCCACACCTAATAACTGGCAAAGAGAATTTGTTTGCTAAAAAACAAGAAGCCGTTAAGAAAGATGTTGAACGAGCGTTTGGCGTGTTGCAGATCAGGTAGGATATAACGCGAGGACCTATGTATTAGTGGGATAAAGAAGATTTAAACAAGATAATGAGAACATGCATCATACTTCATAATATGATTATTAAAGATGAGCGTTGACACATTTTGCAATGGTCACCTCCACCGGATGAGCCAATATCCCTCCCATAATACATTCGAAACCCAACAATGTTGGTGGCACACATTTCCGGTCGTTTTAGAAGATTTCGTAATAGAGCGGATAATGCTGATCTCAGGAAACATCTGATGGAACATTCGTGAAATCAATTTGGTGATGAAGATGTTTAAATTTGGTATAATCGAATAAAATGTAATTTTTATATTTTTATGCGAATTAATTAAATCAGTACGTGATGAAGATGTTTAAATTTATTAATCGAATAAAATTTTATTTTTTATATTATTATGAAAATTAATTAAATTATCATGTAATAAATAAATAAATAAAATTGATAAGTCAAAGAGTACAATTTTTTTTTAAAAAAAAAGAATTAATTAAATTATTATGCAAATTAAATGACTCTTTTTATTTATTTAGGAAAAATGATTTTTTTTTAATTAATTAAAATTTGACTATCTTTACATTAATTAATTGATCCAATACATATACAATATTTATTTTACATATCATCACACAATATCACTTTTTCATTTTATATTATTATCACACACAATGGCCCACTGCACCTGTTGCAACTGCCCACCGCCAGGCGCTACTTCATTCTTCAACTTTGGAATGTAGAATGTGTAATATTGCATGGGCGCCACTTGTGTTTAATGTGCATAGGAAAGCATTTCATTCAACACAGGTTGAGATATTGTACACTTAATGCTCGCGCTAAAGTTGATCTTATGACCTCTAGTTTTTTTTTTTTTTTCCCTAGATAGTTTGAATTTTTTTTTTTTTTTTTGTTAAATTAACAAAATAAATAATATAATTTATCCTTTTTTTTCTTCTTATTTTTCCTTCTCTTCGATCCATTCTAATCTCTCAAATCTATGAAGTTTAATTTTGAATGGTACATGTATATGTGTATGTTGAATTTTATTTAAAAAAATAGTAATATATGGATCGAATTCGCTAATTACGAATTCAATTTATGTGAGACGGGTGATAGGTCTCATCACACTATGTCATGATAACAACATTTGAGGCCCACTACCACACCCACATAAATAACATTTTTCTATTACTCATCCTATTTTTTTAGGAAATGAAAATCTTCCAAACAAAGTTTATCCTTAGTATTCAAGTGTTGAAAACCATGAAAAATTAATTGAAGCGAACACATATATGTTTTAGTAAAATATATTATTTCATGCGGGTATTACTGTAACGGGTGAACGCTTACCCATTTACCAAAAAAGTTAAGTTATTAGGTAGTTTTACATACCCATCTATTTATACATATTTCACTTTCTATCCAAATCTGATGTAGAACAAGTATTCCCTTGTAACATTCTCCCCCATCCAAACTCGCAACGATCTTGTTGCGGTCGAGCCACCCTGCCTACTCGAGTCGCTTACCCGGACACTTTTTCGAGCCGGGCGCTTAGCGTGGCACTGGTTCAAGGATTATGTCTGCCTCTGATACCAATTGTAACCGGTGGGCGTTTACTCATTTAACCAAAAATTTAAATTATTAGGTAGTATTGCATACCCACCCATTTATACTAATTTCACATTCCATTCAAATCCGATGCAGGACAAGTCTCCTCCGATAACAACTACAATGTATTAAGGTGTTGAAATTCAAGACCAACTCAAATGGGCTATTTTGTCTGGTCTAGTACTAGAGCATTTATTCGCGGGTTCAAATCTAATACCAACTCAAATGGGCCCAAGTGCTTGAGCCCAGGGGATATGAATGGCATATATTTAATTTTAAAAAATAAAAAGCAATCTAAATTTTAATCTCTAAAATTAAATAAACTAACTTTTGCATTAAGAAAACGTAACTAAAAATTAAATACAATAAACATTATAATGATAAACTTAAATCATGAATATTTAAGTACCATATTCAATTTAGAAGTAGTATTAATGTCACGCCCCAAATTTATAAGGCGCGATAAATTATTATATAAAAAGAAATTGGGACAGCAATCCTTGTTGGAACAAAATTTTGCGTAATGCCCAATAAAAAATTCGTATAAAATTCGATTTTAAAACAGGGCAAACTAAAATTCTTTAGAGACTAGACTCAAAGGTTAACGTGACCAAATCAATCCCCACGATGAAAGTTCGCCAATGAAATCAATTTTCAGATCGAAGATCGGCCATAATGATTGAACTGAAAACAAATAGTGTAACCAACTTTAACCATGATGGAAAATTACAGAGCTGACAAAATTGAGAGGCCTTGGATTTTAGGAACTAGACCAAAAGGACTATAGACCGGGAAATTTTAATATTATTTGGGGTTAGAAAGTGACTCAAATAAAATTTTCAAAAACCGGTTTACACCCGATGGAAATGAGTTGATAACAGCCACTATGGAATTTTTATAAAAATCATCACTTGCCCAATGATCCTCAAATTTTTCGAAGAACAATTAGACCAATAAGGCTACGTATGGTAAAATTTTTGGAGCATTTAGAAGGCAACAACTCTATAAACAAAAATTTAAAATTCATTCTAACGCGTTCAACAAAGCTAGGAGCAGGCACTGTATGTAAACTCCTTCCATAACGAGCAGCAAACAAATTATTATTATTTTTTTAGCTAAACAATACAAACATAATCTATTCATTCCATTTTACACAAAACACTTTCCCTTCCTAACCCAAACAAGATTATACAATAAGCAAGGTCGAGGAAAATCATGTTAGCACCTCACTATGCTAAGTAACAACATGCTGACATTTACATACTAAGGTCCCTTGTAAGATAAGTTCAACATGTTTCACACAAAAAAACAAAATCATCCATGCACAGAGAGTACAACTCTCAAACCAAAACAAACTACGTGCATACATTAACACCCTAGCATGATTTTTATTTTACTATAGGGCATTTATATACAATCCCAAAACTAGGCAAAACCCCTAGAAAAATGTATGTTATCATATTCAATTTAGTACAGCAACCTCGGCTTCATGTAAAACACATCCAGCACTAAATAAATTCAAATTTCATAGCTAGCATCCTTTAGTCTACCATCTCGGGTGATAACCCCTGAAAAATGTTAGGAGTGAGCAAAGCCCAGTATGAAAAATCTAATAAATGCTTCTATGAGGTTTTATGCATATGATTTGAAAAAGTATTAAGGTAAAACTGTACAAAGACATTAACAGAGTAATGAGAACATTTCAATGCAAAGGAAGTTAATTCTTTAATTTATCAAAATTCTGAAACTGAACTAAAAAGAAAGATGTAACTGAATTAGAAACCTTTCCAATAGGAAACTCAAATACGATTTTTATTATTGGGACATTTTATCAATTATCCTTATAACAGACCAGAGTGTTTCGCTGCTGTCCACTCCCCCTTAGAATAAGGGCGAAACTAACTCCAAACTTCCATTGTCATGGTCCCCCACGTGGGTAGCGGGACTTGCACCCGCGGGTAACTCGTACCCCTTTCAACTGGGACATTACCCTCCTAGCCCCCAAATTCAAGTGTTAAGTTTGTCCCAAAAACATTTTAAGTACCAATCACATGATATAGAAAATTTATAATTCAGCCCAAGACTTTGTTTTTCAAAAGGTTCAGCATTGTATATCTATTAAACAAAATTTATGGACTCTAATTTTTCTGGAAAACATCAAATAGTAAAACCCCCTCTTGGGTTTCTAGAGTAGCCTTGGGAATTCAAGTTTAACCACTAATATATGATGAAAAATTCAATTATAACAGTCATTCCCAACTTTTGAACCAGATAGATACTTGAATCTCAAAGAATATGCTTAGTCAAATGAAATTGAAACAATAAAGTCATAACAAGATATAAAACATCTTCTAAAATAGGGAAAATTCATTAGCTTAAAATAACATTCAATGTATGAAAGAAAAATTAACAAAGAGACGAATTTAATTAAAATCTCTCAAAGCAGCAAGTATTAGAATAATCCCTACCAATGGCAAAAGAAGAATAGGTGGTGATGAAGAGTTCAATTTTCCTCCTTGATTTTCCTCCTCCTTCTATTTCGATCTCCTTATATCTTTCTCTCTCTAGATCCCGCCAGTACCCTCTCATCCTAACTCTCTATTCTTTTTTATTTTTTTTTTTATTTTTGTTTTTAAGTTGCTGTAAGCAGATAAATATAAAAATAAATGGTGCTTTAAAGTTTTGGTGTCAACCTGATGCACATAAGTGTCCTAAGCATGCGGTTTGGACACCTGCATTCCACTAAACTATTTGTGGACACCTGTTCCACTAAGACTAAAACTATTATATATAATGACAATTATGCATAACTTAACACTATATTTTTACTTAATAGCAAAATGGCACCACATAAGTAAGTAAAAATAATAATACTAATAATGATATAAATAGTAGGTAGGATGAACAAAAGTATGCGTCTCATAAAACATATAAATATATCTACATAAAATATATTTAAAAGTAAGGCAATTAAATCCTTTCTAATTAAATTATAGGGTGTTACAATTTAACACCGGCATTAAGAGAGAATAAATAACATATCTTATCTTCTTCCACATAAAATTACATGTCTTTAAATAATACTATCTCCGTTTCAAAATTGTTGGGTGTTTTGGAAATTTTAACTTTTTATGGTAGTGGGGTAAATTTTCAAAATTATCCTTACTACAAAAGACACTCTGTAATTAGTGCATAAGTCAATGTGTAAAAAATAGTTTAAGTATATTAAGAAAAAATTACATTCATTTTTAGAATATTTTGGGACATCTCATAATAAAAAGATAGACAAAAATTTTAGAAAGGAGACAGTATAACACAACAAATTAATAATTCAAACAATTTAATAATTTACAAATATCAATCTTACTTTTATAATAATTCACC